TAGAAGTTCTTTGAACTGATTTTCTTAACTTCTTCCTAATTATTTCGCCAGGTATATCGCCTTTGAATTACAGTCGTATGTATAAAGGCTTCTTGTTGACGGATAATGAATAGTCGTTTTCAACTTTTTTAGTCATATGTTTCCTGATGAATTTGTCTAGATAGCTATTTTCAAACAAGGTATCGTATGCAGTCCTTAGTTCATCTTCATACAAATGCATTTCTGATCAAAGTTATGAACCAGATAATCATCATACATAAGTACTAATTATTGATTAGTAATAAGATTCATCTTATTCTGGACTGATCAAATGAGTATATTGTAAACAAAGATTTGAGCGAATAAAAAACATCTTACAGTAAAGAGAAGTTCATTCGCCCAAAATTAATTTCCTTTCTTTTGTGTTTATTATTGTTTTCCGGGAGTGAAGTCAAAACATACAGTTTGTCTTTTTGGAGACTTGCAGTTCACCCTCCACGATATGATAATAAACCTAGGACTAAAATAAAAGGGTGAAATTGATTCAACTTACTACTAACTAAATGAACGGCTAACCTGCCTGTGGATACTTTCACTGTCTTAAGCTTTGTTTTAACGGGTGTGCATCTGATCATTTTGCTGCTTCTTCTCAGAGTCGGTATTTATTATTTAATTTCTTTGAGTTACCAGTGGAACATAGAGCTTCCTGCTAGAACTTTGAAGTTCCAGCAGCAGTGGTGTGTTCTCTTTACGGGATGGGGTTGGTAGTCTCATGCCCAACCTTACCTCTTTACCGGGATTACTACCGGCTAGTCGAGGTAAGAGAGTGCGCCGGTGGGTAGTTGAGCCTCTGACCACTTGCGACGTAGGTCAGTGATCTACCACTGAACCACCGACTCATAGTCCGTAGTTGAGTCAAACTACTCAGATGAATCCTTGAATGAGTTCACATCTATTCTCTTTAAATATATTGCGGGTCATAACATTTTTTTAATAACTGAGCGTTTCTAACTCGCGCTTAGTTATCAGTTATTCCACGTACTGATTAAGTGGGTAATTGGGCACATTGTGTTTCTTTAGGCTGGTATAGTATAACATATCTACAACACAATTAGTCCTTTACAGACTCTTTATATGAAGCTATGTCTGGCAGTAAATTAGAAGAACAAATCAATAACAGTAAGAAAAATGGCTATTCGACCAGTGAATAAGTGTTCACTGTAATAAGGGATTTCTAATTTCGATAAAAGGAATGGAAATAATGCGAAAGATAAGGTACAGTTACCGCAGTAGACTAAAACTCAGTATCACATTATTTCGTATATCATCCAATGACATAAATATTATTATTAACTAAAGAACACTTAAAGTAGAATTTATTCTTTGTCATCTCATCAAGTAGTTCATACAACTTTCGATTCAGTCTATAAAACCATTAGTGACCACCTTAAAAATTTACGGTTACACGGTTACATTCGTTACTATTTAGCGGCTAATGTGTGTATTGCTTTACTGTATCAAAATTATCCATAAATCCAGCATTGGAGTTAAACAGTTCTTATAGAATTAATTGGGTGTTGACTTAGTGAATATGGATTCAGTAGGGAGACACACAGTATCACCTTCGGTGATAAAATAATTTTACTTGATAAAGCACACATTGGTATACTACAATTTAATACTGTCGCTTCGAGAATAATTTATTGCTCATGAATGTACCATAATATATTGATATCATTGCTAAATAATACTGTATCACTGTCTTATCAAATAAAATTATTCTGTTAATGTAGTTGCACTCTACAACATTGCCCAAAATTTTATTATTATCTCAATAGGACCATCTTGCCCAGAAGTGCTTCACTTCCAGTCGACATTGGCAACAAGGAACAGAAGTGCTACCTAAAAACCATTGATAGGAATTCATCGGTTGCCTCATCACTTGTCGAAATACTCTTTATTAATTGTATCTTATTCCTTAAATATTTTATATTCAAATTGCACAGGTCATATTTTTGTTAACTGAACACTAGTCAGTAGCTAGTGTAGTGCGTCTAGTCCTATATTTGGTTCAGACTGAATTCTACCATATTTCTGTATACAAATTACAGTTTATTAACTGTCAAAAAGAAAGTTATTCCTTATATATGTATTGATGAATAATTATTCTGTTTTCTGATGTCAGTTCAATAGGAATTTGTGTGGATAATACAATTTATCTGTAAGCAGTAATTACCTGACCATACTATGAAGTAGAGTAGTCAACAGATCAGTCATTGCCAATTCGATTTCATTTTATCTATCACATAGCCAGTCATTTGTACCACCGTAGTACACTTAACTCGACATTCACAGCAGTAATATTTTGAAACAGCCTACTAGAACGAAGTAAATAGTTAAAGATCGATACTAAGATGAACTAACATCAATATTAAAGTTAATATAACAATTACATAGTGATCATTGAAAAATTCAGAATATTGGTTATGATGATGATCAATAAGTTGTGCTCGAAATGTCATCCAGTCATTATCAATATATCACTGATTGTAATATGCAATAGATTTATCTAATATAGGGTGATCACAGTTTCTTCGGGATAGATCATTTTCATCTATGTTATGCGATAAAATTGCCCTGATAACTGGATATTTTTCATCCGAATGCGAGATGCTGAAAAGTTTCCATTGTGTATGATTATTATTGTTCGGAATTGTGTTTAATATTGCATATATATATATATATATATATATATATATATATATATGCATACATATATATATATTACTTGTGTATGCGTATATTGATCGATTGATTTTTGTTTAAAATGAACTCTGTGCAAGTATGTTAAAATTGTTTTTGTAAATACATTTAATAACGTCTTTGCCCTGTAAGCAGGTGACAAGAAGGCAACGGAATAAAAGATGGTACCATTTTATTCTGCTAAAACTGTAGTTCTTGCTATGTTCAAATTCATTAAGGGTAATAAATGTATGAAAATTGAAATACTCATTCGTTCAAAAACTTCAGTTTGACAGCTTACGTTTCTGAAACCGACATTCAGAATCTTTACAGTATTACTCACTTGTGATGCAAGAAAGTGTCGTATAATTAAATAATTCCCATTGTATTATTAAGAACACAATATTCAGCGAAGAGACTCCAACTCGTTTATTGGCACGCTATCTGGTCTGATGTCCTACGAAAATCCAGCTAGGAAAGCCTGCTTTATCAACTGTGCGAAATAAGATCACATGATAATGACAGATGAAGTCGGCTGAAATCAAAACAGCTTGTAATTACAAATCAATAGCTGACTTATTCAGCAAACTGACTCATCGTCTTGTCTAATGGACAAAAAGGTGATTGATTATCTGCGCCATATGGAGGTAATATTGTGAAAATTGGGATAATATGATGAAAAGGCTTATGGAAATTTTTACGTAAAAAGGAAAGAAAAGAAGCGATCCCGGAGACAGAGAAAGGAATGATAAGCCATTTAAAAGATTTTTTGCAGATAGAATTAACTGACATTTTAGCCTATTACTTTCTGAATTGCAGGTGATTACATTTACTTTCGATTTATGGTTTACCGAATATACCATTGAACCTATTGACATCAATATTAAACTAAAACCTACCTCATTAGTTGGCAATTATTTTGGAGTTAACCCCTAATAGTTTATTGGTACAGAAATCAAAGGATACTTTACAGATTCCTAGGAGAATAAACAACAAGTATTTCAAGGGAGCATTTTATATGTTATCACTACTTAAGAAATTCGCATATAAAAAGACATTTAGAATTATTTGCAAAAGATCTGAATGCATTACAAAACTCCACATTGTCACACTTCAGACTTTAATTTTGTTTACTCATGTGTTGTGATTGACAATTTCTGTCACTGTATTGCTTAAATGCTTACTGATGTTTGTTAATATTTATTACATGAATTACAATTAATTCTGCCAAATACAAATTCCTGTGATTCGTTCATTGCGAAATATTATTACAAATAACTATTACATTTTGGCGTCGCTATGGAATTAAGTAATCTTGGAAAGTTTCCTATTAACGGTTCACCACTGGAAATCGCCGATTTTCTTGAATGCTTTGACACATGGTGTATGTTGAAAAATGTTCGGGATGACAAAATTTCAGCTCATTTTATTACTGCGATTGAGCTAGATGAGTAAAGTCTACTGAAAACTCTAGCATTTCTAGATAAGCCAATTTCTCTGGCATATGATAAACTCCATGCATCACTTCCACATAACTACTTTTGAAACACGGAAGAGGGCTCAGCTCGACTAATTTGTTTGTGCTCTTAACCAAAAGATTCGAGAATTTACTCTCCAGCTTCAGATACAAGTTTCACAGTGCAACTTTGGGGATCAGATACATACTCGACTACATGATCGTCTAATTGCTGCGATCAATATTCCGAAGCTAGAGTAAGAGCTGATTCAGATTCCTTGCTGCACATTTCAAACTGCTAAGGATTTATGTATTATATGTGAAGTTGTCAACAGTGAATACCCAGCTCCCATTACATCAGTGTCTGATTTGATGCTGTCCAAAGCTGACTATGCAAATGTTCATAAAAAGGAATCCAAACTGTCATCCACGTCTGATAGAATGCAGACAGAGAGTAGAAATATCAAACTGTGTTTTTCATGTAGGAAGATTCATCTACGAAACATTTGCCTTTTTAGGGGTGCTAAGTGCCATAAATGTAGTAAAATCGAGCACATAAAGTCTGTTTTCAGGAGTTCGAATACTAATGCTACTCAAAATTCTCATGATTCCTTCAATTCGTCTGGTAAAATTCAGTCAGTGTTTCTTTCAACGTTTCAAAAATCTAAACCTAATGAAAACCTTCACTACAAGTTCAGGCAAGTCCCACTATTTTATAATTGATACAGGGAGTACGGAGTCTACAATTTCTAAGAAAGATTTACTATCTTTCGTAAACATTTTCAGGTAAACCCTACTAATAATTCAATTACAGGCATTATTGGTTATAAACCACCCCCTATTGGTACTGTTAACATTGTTTCGAGGTCAGACAGTGATAGTGTGAGTGAATATGGTTCAACTTTATTGTGATTTAAGGCTCTTAGATTGTTGAATATCCAAACCTCACTTAGCACTAAGTTGTTTGATGAATCTTTGCTCAGAGAATTACTTCTCCAATGTTCAAAGTGTGTAGATGGCTTGAAGATCCAGCCTATCCATCTGGAAACAGAGGTTGATCCTGTCTTTCTATAGCGTTGATTGATTCCATACAGTTTGTGAGATCCAGTTAAGAAGGAGTCGGACAAGTTGTTTGAGCAGGGCATACTTATGTGTGTAGATAACTTCCTACTTCAATATCGCAATGCGGAGCATACAAGTACCCATGAAAGTCCTGCTAAACTGTTCAAATCTCGAATTCTCAGAAAGCACCTAATATCCACGACTTCTGATGTACATTATTACAGAGGGAATGACTATAGACCTTCTGTTGGAATCATACTACAAAAAATGGGAAATCGAATGGTGAAAATATTAGACATCGAAGATCATTCAATTCATAACAGACACCTGGATCAAGTGAGAATAAACGAAGTATGTCTTTCCGATTATAATTTTAATGATTCCGCTACTAATCCTGATATTGTAGATAATTCAGAAATAAGTCCAGATGATACTGATGAAAATAATATCACAGAATCAGTTAGAAGATCCCAGAGACTTGCAAGCAAACCGAGACCTCATTATAAATACGCAAGGAGACATTCGACATGTGGCGGATGTGGTGATTGACAATTTCTATCTCTGTATTGTTTAAATACTTACTGTTGTTTGTTAATATATTTATTATATGATTTAAAATATAATTCCGCCAAATACAAAATTCCTAAATTCATCCCTCTCTGTGTTTTGGTTGACTTCCTGTAATTCAGTCATTGCAAAATACAATACTACTATCACAAATAATAATCACATTATGCCAGTTGAATCTTCGAATCGGGAGACTCCTATTGGGAAGCCACTAAAGGTGGATGGGAAAACACTGAGAATTTGTAGTGACTACTGCTTTACACTCAGTAGTCGCCTACTACAGCAAAGCTGCACTACTCCAGACACTGAAGACATTCTGTACAAGCTGCGTGGCTCAAAATACTTTTCCATAATAGGTCTCAAAGATGCTTATTTGCAGATTCCTCTTGACGAAGCTTTTAGTACACTAACAACCATTAATGCCCCATTTGGATTGTTCAAGTATAAGTTCCTGCCTTTTGGCTCAAAGTTTTCATCTGAAATATTTCAAAAAGTAATAAATCAGATTATAGATGTTGTTGAATATTGCCAAGACGACATCATGGTCCGTGGACCAACACATCGAATTGCAAAATGAACTTCTTTTAAAACTGTTCATGAGTTTCTGTGAAAAAATATTCTGGTTAATCCGTTTAAATGCCATTTTACTTTGTCATCTGTATCATGCTTAGGATACACAGTAGACACTGAGGATTTCAGACCTGATGCAAGTCGTTTGGCACCTCTAATTCAAGCACATTCACCTAATAATGTGGTGAGAGCTGTCTACTGGCCAAATTGGTAGACAGTAATTTACGTCAATATTTACGTTCCCAAGATTTGTCGTGAGAAAATGTGAACAAAGATTGATTCAAAACCGACCACAGAAGACTTTGCGTAGGTTGATGCAGTTAACATATAGAGGATTTGACATTCAAGAAACAGTCACAAATAGATGAAAGATTAACTTTACGTGAGAAACAACCAATCGGAAGACTGTGTTTGTTTGTTTAAATATCCATAGTGATGTACATGAAAATATATAAATATGCGTTGATCTCCTTAATAAATGATCTGTTGCCTGACTCTTGCCTTCTGTCGTTACAATAATATGTCGTTGTTGAGATCATGGATTAGTACTCCAGATTCACTTCCAATTCCACTCAACTGTTATCTCCACTTTTTGAAATTATTTCTAGTCAACAGTTTAAGAGGGGACAACGACACGATGGTATCTTGCGAAGAACTATGGAGTTCCTTAATAGAAAAGCTCTCTTAAAACCTATCTCACCGAAAGATAAGCCTGTTTTTTTATTTTAGCTGCATTCCACACTGTATTTTTGGTAGAGGTATCGAATTTTCAGCATGTGATGTCGGTAGCCCAAATTTTGCAGGCCGACCATGGTTATCAGGTGTGCGTCGGCGGGGGATCGGACCCCGGACCATGTGCATGGTCTGCGAGAGTCCTAACCACTGTGCCACCGACGCACTACAGATGCTTCCCCGGTGGACAGAACTGCAGTACTTGTGTAACGACAGGAGGTAAGAGTCAGGTAACAGATTGTTTATTATTGAAATCAACACATATTTATAGATTTTTGTGTACATTATTATTATAGATTATTGTTAGCTCACAAACACAGTTTTCTGGTTGGTTGTTTCTCACTAAAAATTAATCTCTCATCTCTTTGTTGCTGTCTCTTGAGTTTAAAACAGTTAGTCCCTTTTATAAATTTTGATAGCATTATTAGAAGACGGAGATTATCTGAAAAATGTGATGTATTTGCGCTATAAATTTCGAACAATCTGATCACACATTTACTTGTCAAGTCAATATATATGGAAAAGTTAAATTAAACAAAGTGACAAAAAAAAATTAAGAATAATTAACACAAACGTTTGGTAATCCAATCAAATAAGGATTACCAAGGTAGGTTAAGAGTAATAACAAACTGTTTTTGAATACACAAGGGTGGCTTAAGCTTATGAATGGCTATAGCCTCAGCGTATTTCAGTAAACGTCCTTAACCGTTTTTATAGATGACTTTAAAGGCTGAGTTTGATTGGATTACCAAACGTTTGTGTTAATTATTCTTAATTCTTTTTTTTGTCACTTTGTTTAATTTAACTTTTCCATATATATTGACTTGACAAGTAAATGTGTGATCAGATTGTTCGAAATTTATAGCGCAAATACATCACATTTTTCAGATAATCTCCGTCTTCTAATAATGTCTCTTGAGTGTCAGATCATCTATCTGCTAATTGTATCCGCCTACGCAAAGTCTGCTGTCCGTCTTCAGTCTTGTTTTCACATGACTAATATTTGAGACATAAACACCGACGTCAATTACTACTACCTAGAATGGTGGCCACATTACAACCTGACTGATAGAATTCAGTCTGCATCACACTAGTTACTAGTGTCAAATCAAAATAATTACTGTCTACCAATTTGGATAGCAGCCATCTCTCACCATACTTGGGCAAAATGGGCAACCTGTTATTTGTATTTAACGCCGCCTAAGTAAGAGTGAACAAGTGTACTCACAAACCCAGAAAGAGGCTCTAGCAGTTGTATGGGTAATAAGACGCTTCCACAAGTATCTCTATGGTACTAAGTTTCACATAGTTACTGATCATCAGGCTTTGAAATTCATTTACAATCCACAAAATTCTTTGAATAGATTATCTGCTGCTATGGTTCAAAGATGGAATTTAAAACAAAGTGCATATGACTACACTACTTAACACAGACCAGCTAAGGAAATACTTCATGCAGACTTCTTATCTCGTTATTGATTATTTGAAAATTCTCTTAATTGCTCTGATTGTTCGTTAGTCTAGCCGTTACCATTGGATAGAGTTCGACTCATACACGATACTCGGAAATATCACAGGATCAAAAAGATGCAACAAAAAGAAGTAGGAATATTTAGTGTAAGTGAAGATTTCCGGACTTTCGTGAGCAAAGAGATGAGATTTCATCCATCCATCCTCAAGGATTCCGATGTCTGAATGACAGAATTATTATTCCATCATTAAGATCTGCAATTTCGGATGATCTTCATTCTGCTTATCTGGGAGCTGATAAGATGAAATCATTAGCACGCCTAACGTGCTGGTTGCCGGAAATTGATGCTGAAATTGGTAAAAGATCAAAGAGCTATTCCAGCTATTTGCGTAAAATGTTCCATGGAAAGTCATCGCGGAAAACATGGTCTGCGTCTTGTGAGATTTGGCAGCGTATTCATGCGGATTACTGTAGTCCATTCTTAAATTCATACTATGCTTTAGTTATTGTGGATTCTTATTCTAGATGGCCAAAAGCCAAAGTTACAGATAGTCCTAACGCGAAATTCACACACAGAGCTATGAGGAAGATTTTCAGCTGAAAAGGAATTCCGGATATCTTAATTACTAATAATGGTACTCATTTCACAGAGAAGGATTTCAATTTTTGGCTTAAAGATATCGGTTTTCGTCATCTGTACACAGCACCATGTCGTCCTCAGTCTAATGGGTTGGGAGGAAATTTCATACGAACATTAGATAGTGCCACAGCATCAATGAGTCTTAAGAATCTTGACGAGCTGGAGAGATGTGTAGATAACTTCTTACTTCAATATCGCAATGCGGAGCATACAAATACCCATCAAAGTCCTGCTAGGCTATTCAGATCTTGAATTCTTCGAACGCATCTGATGTCCATGACTTCTGATATAGATAGAATGACTATAGAGCAGGAGGGGGAGTGAAAATAATTACGGAATTCAAGATCAGTCAATTCAAGGTGGGCAGCAACGAGTTATTTTATAATCAGGGAATTTATAAAATAATGATAACTAAGGAGAATAGAGTGGCTAAGTAGAATTACGTGAGAACACCAAGATGCAAACTAGTTAATTAAATTAGCTAGTAAAATAACAAAGTCAGAAAATAGTTACAGGGAAAGGGGGAAATGGTTTGTAAAACTTCATACATATTATGCAGTCGGTCATGACAAGGAAGGAGCTGCACAAATTTCTTTCAAACGCAGATTTGGCTTATTCAGATGAATTCTGATTGCCTCCGCTGGATGTAGAATTCGTACCCGCAGATCATGCGAGAGGTTGCGTGATATACGATAAATAACTCTAAAGGCTTTGTTAGAGTCAACCTGATGTCCAGTATCGACGAGATGAGTTAATATTGAGCTGCATATAGCTTTATTCGAGCCTTTCTTAAACCAAGACGGGAGGTGTTCAGAAATTCGACGATGAATTCACCTGATTGTAACGCCAAATGTTACTAGCTCTACAGGAGCGGTTAAACTGGTAAATACACATGGAAGAGGCGAAACTGGACAGTGTATCTTTATTTTGTGAACTGATTATAGGTTAGCTGGTGAATGAACAACCTAAATTGTCTACGTTGAAAGTCATTTTGAACACCCTTCTCAGATGCTGCGATAAAATCTCACCAATAACATCTCCCGTGAATTGCAATTTTATACATGTAAACAACACTTTCACACTTATGGGGGCTTTTATATGATAACGGTATGCTAGCAGTTTTCGAACATGGTGAAAGATATTTCATTGGGCGCCAGTAGTACTCTTTTTTAAGTACTTAATGGAAATCTTTGGGGGAATTAAGATAACAAGATAGACTTTTTCTTATATATACACACTTGTCAATGCAAAACTCTGTTGCCCCACTAAAAGGTAATGAACAATTGTTATCATAAATATTGTATTTATTATGCAGGTAATCTTGTTATAAACCTACCTTACAATAACATGTACAAGTCTTACACATCATTGCAACAGTGATACAAGCTTACGAATAGTAGTGTAGCCCAAGGCAAATAATTTCAAAGCATCATACCAACAACTTTGTGGCGGGTAGATTTATTGAGAGTCTGCTTGCAGACACTGTATGACTACGTCTTATGAAATGTCTATGGAGGCTGATAACGTGGCGTGAAGAAAACGAAGATGAAATAATTA